TCCCTGAGCGGTTTCCTTCCTCTCCGGCAACTGAGTTAGGAAGGATGACTGTATCTTTGTAGTGACTGGGTGTATTGATACACCATCCACAGTGTAATTAATAACTTCACCATGCTCAAAGGGATATTCAATTGTTTTATTTTTACCCATCTACCAATAGGTGCTCTTCTTTGCGAGGCATTGAAAAACCTCCCTGGTCTTTGTGTTTGAATCTGTGTTTGAAATTCACTGCTCGACTGAGGGACCTTACAGATAATTGTATGTGTGGGGTAGAGATGAGATAGTCATTCAAAAATCATGTTAAACACTATTATTGCACACAGAATGAGTCCATGCAACTTATTATATGACTTGTTAAGCACATTTTCACTCCTGAACGTATTTAGGCTTGCCATAACAAAGGGATTGAATACTTATTGACTCAAGACATTTAAGACATTTTACTTTGTAAACATTTCTAAAAACATAATTCCACTTTGACATTATGGGGTATTGTGTGTAGACTAGTGACACAAAATCACAATTTAATCCATTTTAAATTCAGGCTGTAACACAACAAAATGTGGAAAAAGTCAAGGGGTGTGAATACTTTCTGAAGGCACTGAATATTCTGTCACACCAGCCAAGGGGAGACACAGGGTTGTTCTGATATAGTGAAGGTTGGTTGTAGCTGCTGCCTAACCTGTATTTCTGAGTTATACGGTGGAACAAAAACAAACAGGACTGCCAAGTCGTCCTATCAGATTACATAGTTTAAATCACGCCCTGGTCAGTGAGCGATGGCCCTCGTGGCTCTGTGCTCCGCTAATCTGTCTGGAATACAAACAGCTATCTGTCAATCCTCATTTGACACTTCAGTTTAATTCTGATTTGCATTAAGAAACAGGTACAGAAGTTGTCTATTTGACATGAGGGCTGTATGGGAAGAATAATTTACATTTAGGCTTAAGTAAGACCCCAGGAGTGTCTTTACTATTTACCCCCATCTTTATCACTAGTTAATTTACATTAACAACCGCCCCTCAGGTAAGGCTAAGCTCTGAATCCACCTCTTCCCATTTCTTCGTCAAGAGAGATAATGGCTTGGCCTACAAGCAAGCAATCTCCAGCTCCAGGTTCTCCTAGTTTGGACCAACTTCATTATTTGGTTAAGATAACAAAACAATGGTCTAGTAGTTTAAAACGTCTTAATACAATATCAGTGTATAAACAGCAACTGGTGGACTGCATAGCACATATCTGGCCTAACCTTTTAATCAGGTGCTTGACAGGTAGAAACAGGTAAGCCTTATATGATTGGCCATGGTAGACCAGGTGGGAGGTGGGCATCTGTGTTGTGTTTGGGGAGGGGTTAAAGTCGGTCACAGCAGCATGGTCAGGTTGTAAATAAAGCATTGAGAGATCCTGCTACACTACTGACTACCGTACCTTCAACTGAACCAGCAGAAAACATGTGATGGCAAAACCAAGGCTGGGCTGCCTCTTTCATAAGAAGCCAAGGGGAGAAACTTGTTTTCAAACGGAGACATAGAGATGCCATAGAGACACGCAGACAAGGAATGTCCCTACAGAGGACTAAGGACTGGCTCCCAAAGACAAACAAAAATGTTTTGGATTGAAAAGGAACTTGATCATTGGAGTAGCCTAATCAGATTATTTTTGTAACAATCCTGTTAGCATTAACCTGGTAGAGCCTATTACCGAAGGAATGACCCAGAATCGTACACTTCATCCGTTAACCCTAGGCGACGGTCTGGTGTAGACAACAGGCATTTTAAAATGAACTGAAGTGAGGATGTCTCTCAGTTAAGAACAGAAGACAAAGACAAGTGGAGCGTTAATTTGATCTCTGTGGTTAGATTTATCTCTCCCACCCAGTGGAGTCCCACCCAGACCAGACCAGACCAGCTCAGGAAGAGCCTCCTCCATACAACAGCCCTGAGCTGGCAGGAGGACCCTAATAACTCAATATAGTGATATTTCACAACACTGAGTCAGTCACAGGGCAATAAAACTAGTATCACCCACAGACAGATATAGACAGACAGACACACTTAAATAATTTTGCAGATGTTCTTACAGTTAGTGCATTCAACTAAAGACAACCACTACCATGATCATCGCAAATAAAACCTCTATAAAAAAAATAGCCTCTATTTGAAAGATCAGTACTAGAAAAAAAGTACAACAGTTAAGTGTTAAAATATTTTCTTTTTGTGAGAACTTAGCGGACAGTAAACAGTGTTGTTCCATGCTCATTGGGGCATGCAAGAGATTAATTGACAAATCCATCAATAGAAAACGCCCATCTGACATAAACCCCTCACCCAACTCCCACCCCTCCGCTGCAATACCATATCGACCTTGCAGACACATAGTTCTTCTTTATTAAAATATATTTTCCCCCTCACAGAACCTACCATCCGTCTGTATGTGACCACTGCAAGAGCCATGTGGATGGAGGGGAGGAGAGTGGGGCTGCTGTATTGAAGACAGGAACACAGAGTTATATATTGTATTTATCTCTGAATTATTGCTAGACTTGAATCCACCTAGCCATATTATAATGTCTAACAAAAATATATGTAAGTACACCACCAATGTTATGGTATATTGAATCTAGTCTGGTGCTTCAAAAGGGGACTCGGTACTTCTCTGGCATGCTAAGAAACTCTCATACACTTCACCAGCTCGAAATCAGATGTATCCAAATATACTCCTTTCTACCACTTCAAACATAGTCATTAGATGTACTCCACCAAAAACACAGGATTTCACATGATGGTAACTCTCCCAATTCAGACACAATCATATTCTACAAATATTGACTCAAAGCTCTCAATGCCTCATTCTACAATCAATATCATCAAATTGTCTACATTTTGCCCTGAGTGACCCTGGGGGCAACCTCCATCGACTGACTGATTCATTCAGGCAAGCTTACGCTTCACTAAGTCATTGGCTCTTCCAGAAGAATGGCTGCTGCTGGTCTGGTTCATGCCAGTACAGCCTGCCAGTAAAGCCTGCCAGGAGTCAATGCAAATCTTGGTGTCTCGTTCTCCCTCTCTTTCCCTAGTCTCTCCATCTCTCCCTTTGTCTGGGCTCCAGTTCTGAATGGAGAACAATCCCAGGCAGTGTTCTGGGCATGCCACACCACAGTCAGCAGTTCTGACTGCGGAACAGTTAAGCCAGAGCCAACCTGACCTCTGTCGCTCCACCGCTCCGCAGGGCCGATCACATCCACCCGGCCACAGCTTCAGCCCCAGCCAGCCCAAATTCCATATGTGATCCCTAGACTAGAGTCACGGCCATGGCCCAGGTCACAGGGGAGAGGCCACAGACATTGAAAATACTGGGGGCAACCAGGAGAGGGGGAAGAGCTGTGAAAACAAGGAGGTCAACAAGAAGGGCCCAGGACCAGCCATGGCTACACAGCAGGCCATGACTACACATATTCACCCAAGAGAGGGGATCTGGCCCCTTAGGGCACAGGGTTACCTGAGAAAGGTTAGTCTCAGAAATGGTTCCCTGAGCAGCGGTGCAAATTGATGCACCTTAGACATTGCAGTCTTGGTACACTGAAAGAGGGGGGCTTGCCTCTGGTAAGAAGGGTGGCACCTCTCTGTAAGCTGTTTAGTAGCTTAAATCACTAATTTGCCCCCATGCACTGACCACACACTTCTGTAAAGAAATTCTCAGTTGCTAACTTGCTACAGTATAACATCAGGTTACAAAATCTCAGGCGTCTCCAGGACAGAGGTCTTAAAAAGTGCAATTCGTTGCACTTCAACGATACCTTTAATTATAACATAATTAAAATCAGTCTGACTGGGGGACTTCAAGGTGGCCCATAAGCCCCTTCTGGGGGAGAAGAAGAAATATATTGTTTGTATCATGTTACAAAATGGTAGCTGTACTTGCCATGAATATGTTTTATTGTATGTAATTTTGTTTCATATTTTGTGCACATGATTCTTCAAGATATGGGGCACTGTGAGTCACGGCTGGATAGGCTATGTTTCCGCTGTCAAAATTCATACCATAACCAACTACGTTACCGCTAAAACTAGCTTTTGGTTGGTCTTAAATATCCTTATCAGCGCTGCCTGAAATTAGCACTTTTTAAGGACACACCTCAAATATTTCCACTCCTCCCAGCTGATGTTAGACAGGTAAATTGCCGGTCCTGGCGTTAGGGCTGGAAAATGCCAGTGTGCCAGTTTTTACATGACGAAATTGCAAACTGACGTGCATTTGACACCTGCGCCGCCTTAATGCCAGCAGGAAATACAGCCCATAGTGTCTTATAAGCCCATGTGGGCTGGGCACCAATTAGTGTATGAAACTGAAATAAAATCAATCAATGAACTCAATCAATCATGATAATGCATAAAACACAGCTTAATTTATTGTGTATGCATGAGGTTTTCTGCTAGTCAACAGGAAGAAGACTACTACTCTCTCGGGTAAAAACAGTGACATCCCTCTGGGCAAAAACTGGTTGAATCAACATTGTTTCCACGTGACTTTTAACCTAAATCCAATGACATGGTGAAATGTTTTGTTGATTTCATGTTGAATTCACTTTAGCTGACAACTCAACCAAATCAAAACTATACATTCAACTGATGTCTGTGCCCAGTGGGATCACTCTCTAGGGCAGGGGTAGGCAACTAGATTCAGCTGCGGGCCGATTTTTGGTGGAGAGAATGGTGGGGGGGGGGGGGGGGGGGACAATTATTATTATAATTTGTACACTGCAAATTGACCGCAACTAAGCCCAAAAAGAGATTGTACTTGAAAAGACCAATATTTTCATACCTTGATTACATTGAGAAACGGTCACCTATGTCTCTTTTTTTATTTGAGGGAATACTAGGGAACAGATTTCCTCAATATTTTTTATTTTTTTAGCTGAAACAGCTTATTGGCCATGAAAGCCAAGAGGCCCCGCCACTTCCTGTTCATTGTTATCGGCCCTGAATTCCTTTCCTGACCCATTATGTCTTGTCTGTTTGGTTTTCACTGTGTACCTCCTCCTGTAATGGCTGTATCTTACCTTTGCCAATCTCCACAAAGCCCACAATGATGATGAGGCCCAAGGCAAGGAGCTTGGCAGCTGCGAAGGCATCCTGGACCCGCGTGGCTGCCTTCACACTGTAGCAGTTTATAGCAGTCAACAGCACTAGGGGAAGAGAGAAACAGAGTTTGTGAGTTATTCCTTTCTATTTTTGACTACTGTCTAAAAAAGGAATAATTCTCCCTCCTTTTGTAAACTCAATAAATGTTGCTAAAGGTACTAAATGTTAGTGTAGATTCCACTCAGCACACACAGCAGGACCCTGAAACTAGGGTTGGGAAACCCCAGCCCCCATTGTGTATGTGATCAGTTCGCCGGACTACTGTGTGGTGTGTCATGTGGCACAGAGGGGGGAATCGTTCAGAGACCTAGTAAACAGATTCGAGGGAATAAAATCAAGCCCCCCACAGCCACCCTCCCCTCCCCTCCCTATCCCCCAGCCTCCCCTCCCTGTCCCCCAGCCTCCTCTCCCTGTCCTCCGGACTCCCCAAAAAAGTGATTAACTAACAAACACTTCAAAGCACCATAAGCCGTAAACCAGCCCAGGCAACAATAGGGAACACAACAGCTTCTGTGTGGACCCACAACACAAAGAGGGCCTGTGTGGGAGAGTACAGTATAGACTGGGAAGAATGGTACATAAACACGAAAACACACACTCCCGCTGAGAGTGAGAATGAGAGAGCAGAGCAGTCCTGTTGCCTGTGGGATCAGGGCAAAGGGATTAACCAAGGCACTAGTCTCAGCCTCCTAAACACACCACATGGACTGAGACTGAGGTTTCCCCCACAACCCCCTAAAGAAGCCATACACAGCCAGCCAGGGGGTCACTGTGTAAAACCTCACTACTGGGACCTACAGTATACACTCAACTAAAGCACAGCGACCTAATAACTACAAAACACTAAATAAATAGGTCACTGGAACAATAACTCACACAGTCGGTCAGACAAACCCTGTAGCCTAGCACAACAACTCAATAGATTAACAAAGTTACATGGACCAGCAAATGTGGATAAGAGTAGCTTGGTTATCCAGACTGACCCTGTCAACCACCAAGACCAGAATAAGCAGACTGGACTAACAACATATTGGCTTCAATCTTGTCTCTTTATCTATACATCTGCCTTGGCCTGGCTGAGCCCTGATCTCAGTTTCTATCATGTGGTCACTGTTGGGGATTACACACTTAGAATAGGGATTAGAGACTAGCGCAGGTACTGAACCGTACAACATTCACTCACAGAGTCTGTGAGAGCTTTTTCCACCAGGCAGGAGCAGCCATGATCCTGGCTTGAATTCAGCCTCTACAATACCACAGCCCTACTGTATACCCCTGCCGCTTCTGCTGCCGCTGCCCACACATTTCACATTGCAAAATGCATTGACAGATGGTACCGTTAGGTCTGGTATTCAACATCCACTGGGAAGAGGTAATGAACACTGATCACACAATGTCCAAAACCCTCATTGGGTTAGATGCAGAAAGAGGAACATGGCAGGGTTTGAATGTACATTCTTTGTAGGTATCACCTATTTGATCACCCGTTTCCTGCATCTGCATACTAGAATTTCATATTATTATCATTTAAAAAAAGAATACAGGCACGAACACACACACACACATACAAACACACAATAGTCACATACATTCCTGCACCTTAATATCAGCCATTCATACCCCAAACAGAGAAATGTATGCTGTGAGAGAGAGGGGTGCGAGAGGGGCAAAAGTCTAACAGAGAGTGGGAATGGGAGACCAGAAATAAAGAAAAGTCTGTTTGAGATGACCAGCGAACTCCACAATGTGGAGTTAATTGTTGGCTAATTAGTCAAAGCTCAAACTAATCCACCCATAATCCCAACTGGCTAACTCCTATCCAACACAACAGCCATGCCTGTTAGAGACTAGCCTACATTAACGTATTTACCAGCGCCACCTGATTCACAAAAACTATTATAGAACCTCTTACTGAATGTGTAGGGCAGGCCTAAAAAACCTAATTGGTTATTTGGAGAACACAAGATTGTTTATTTGCATACCAGAGCATTTGATATCAACAAGGTCATAACAGGATAGTGTCAAAATGTAAAACATCCCTTCATCACACTGATATTGAACATAAATGAGTGGGTGACATGCTTTGTCAAGTTTAATTACTATTGGGCAATTCCACATTAACGGAATTACGCTGAGACTCCGATTTATCACTTTAAAATGTATGCCAAAAAAAAAACGATTTTGAAAGTTTAACAAACCATACAACTCTTATGCACAAGGACTACTTTGAACAATTTACACATAAACACATTTATTGGAAGAACTGTGCAGATGCAAAGTTTGGTAACAGAATTACGGTAAAACCTCCCTCAGTTTTTTATGCGACCACGTTTTCAAAAAACTCTGGTAGATATCTGCTCCAAATTGAAGATTCAAAGATGTCTGCAGAAAGAATGGGGTGTCACCTATATAATGACACCTTGAGTTTGTAACAATCTCTTTTGGTTATTGCACTACAGTAAGTGAAGTGGATTTACACCCGTCAAGGTCCCTGATCTGTACTGAGTAGTTCCACCAATTAGGTGCCTTTTGAGTAGTGTAACTTGGTTGGGGAAAAAATGTTTTATTTCACAAAAATGGTACATTCTGTCATAAAGAGATGACAGACTTAATTTTCAACTTAATAAAAAACACTTTTTCCCCCATCTCAAGAGGTTAAATAAATAAGAAATGCTATAGTAACTGCCTATAAAGTAAAAGGGTTGACAGTAAAAGGGTTGACAGTAAAAGGGTTGACGACTTCAGCTTGAATCAGCCATGTGACAGAGGGAATGGAAGCTTGTTGTGTGCAATAGGGAGGGGCTATTGAACGCCAGCATCACAAAAAAATGTACTTGTTAAAACATTTTTAGCCTGTCTATCTATGGGTAACAGGGATGACATGTTACGCTCAGTTTTCCATCAGAATTGCCAAAAAGAGTAGAACCAGCTCACCTGCTTTTACAATATGATTTGAATATTAGATGTTCAATGTCAAAGTGCTCTGGAGCAGGTTTTCATCAAGGATCTTTCTGTACTTTGCTCCGTTCATCTTTCCCTCAATCCTGACTAGTCTCCCAGTCCCTGCCGCTGAAAAACATCCCCACAACATGATGCTGCCACCACCATGCTTCACCGTAGGGATAGTGCCAGGTTTCCTCCAGATGTGACGCTTGGCATTTAGGCCAAATAGTTCAATCTTGGTTGCATCAGACCAGAGAGGTTCATGTTGGTTCTCCCATCTCCACAGAGGAGCTCTGTCAGAGTGACCATCGAGTTCTTGGTCACCTCCCTGACCAAGGCCCTTCTCCCCCAATTGCTCAGTTTGGCTGTGCGGCCAGCTCTAGGAAGAGTTTTGGTGGTTCCAAACTTCTTCCATTTAAGAATGATGGAGGCCACTGTGTTCTTGGGGACCTTCAATGCTGCAGCCATTTTTGGTACCCTTCCCCAGATCTGTGCCTCGACACAATCCTGTCTCGGAGCTCTATCATTTCCAATCAATTGAATTTACCACAGGTGGACTCCAATCAAGCTGTAGAAACATCTCAAGGATGATCAATTGAAACAGGATGCACCTGAGCTCAATTTCGAGTCTCATAGCAATGGGTCAGAATACTTATGTAAAGAAGGTATTTCTGTTTATTTTCTTTAATAAATTTGCAAAAATGTCTAAATACCTGTTTTAATTTTGTCATTATGGGGTATCGTGTGTAGATAGATGAGGATTTTTTTTATTTAATCAATTTTAGAGTAAGGCTGTAACGTAACAAAATGTGGAAAAAGTCAAGGGGTCTGAATACTTTCCGAATGCACTGTATAGTGTATATTTATACTCCGGACTCCAATATTGCTCGTCCTAATATTTCTAAATTCCATTATTTTACTTTTTAGATTTGTGTGTATTGTTGTGTGTTGTTAGATATTACTGCACTGTTGGAGCTAGGAATCCAAGCATTTCAATACACCCACAATAACATCTGCTAAATGTGTATGCGACCAATCAAATTTGATTTGATGCCCTGGAACAAAGCTACTGCCTCAAGCGATACGCGCGACCAACAAACATCTACAGGTTGCATGCGCACATACAGTACCATCTGAGATGCAAATATACCATCTGAGATGCACGTGCATGCGCTGAGGTTCACGGACCCGGCGCCGTCAGCGCTCATAATCGCAGCTGGATGCTTCTCAGCTAGCTAGCCAGTGTAGCCAAATTATCAAGGTGACAGCTAAAGCACAAGCAATGGGGATTTCTTGGTTGTAGTGCTAGCTAGCTAACTCTCTCAAGTTCAACCACTGCGATACTAACGCAATAATATAACACCCTGGACCAGAGCTACTGCACCGACTGGTATGTGCGTAGCACACTGACGCCCTGGAACACATAGTGAGGTAAGGTTGCGTGTGTACGAACTGAGATGTAAAAATACCATCGGAGACGAACGTACACGCATGTGCTTCACAGAGCAGGCGGCGTCAGCGCACATAATCTGCAGCTGGAAACGTCTCATCATTTCAGCCAGTAGTTTTGAAAGTGGTGCTCACAAGCCAAAACAGGTCCCCATATTTTGTGTGCTATGTCATCCAATTGTGTACTACGTCATCCATTTCGTATGATATGTTACGTCCTTTTTTGGGGGTGCAATTCATATGCTAAGACTGCATCTTTAACTGGAGAGAGAGAGAAGAGAGAGGCAGAGAGAGAGGGAGGGATTGTCCAGACTGCTTCACACTCTGGCTTTGACCACCAGACACAAAGAGAAAACAGTCATGAGCTGAACATAACAGTATGCCAGTGGAAGGGAGGACAGTAGCAGGTGACCCTGTGGTTTGTGCCTACTATGATTTGTCATTGTAGCCAATTCAATTGCAGTAATTCCGTTACATATTTTTTGGTAATTCTGTTACCGATTTGGTAACAAAAATGAATACCAGTAAAAACACTATAACTAATTGGTAGGTCTACCTTTACTTGTTACTTCTGTGAACTTTCATTATCCTCCCTCCTCAAAAAATAAATAAATATGTAAATCCTCATGAGGGAGAGAAATTAGAAAATATGTGGGGTTTTGTTAACGGCATTACAAGGCAATGTTTCTTAAACTTACAGAAGGCAAATCATTTCAAGTGTTGATATGAGATGGCAGGGGTCTTTACTTCATACTTTTTCTGGTAGTCTGGATGTTTTCTAAGACCCCCTTTCCATCTGTTTGACCAGAAATCAAAGCCATTACTTATGCCTAATTTGTATGATGGGAAATTGTTGAAAAATGTATCTATGGCTTAATTTCCCTAAAATATACTCTTAGCTTTCATTTGACATGCTGCTATGAACTTCACGTTGGTGCTCATGGGTCCTTTTACATAATAATATGCCATTTAGCAGACGCTTTTATCCAAAGCGACTTACAGTCATTTGCGCAAACATTTTTAAGTATGGGAGGTCCCGGGGATCGAACCCACTACCCTGGCGTTACAAGCGCCATGCTCTACCAATTGAGCTACAGAGGACCACATGGAAATGACCTGTTGTTTATAGCACGCACAATAGTGTAATGCAATGTGCATGAGACAAGTGGCTAAATTAATTGAATTTGCATATATGAGATCAAAATAATCTATTGTAGATGTTTCATATTTGTATTTTATTTGTATAATTTATCTTATTTTATTATTGTCATTATTAATAATGAGTTATCTGAAGAGAAATACAATTTCCATTTGAGCTTGATCATACATTATGGCGCGTGGGTGATGATGCGCAGAGCGGGGGACTGACTCTATAGGCCTACTAACCAAAGATGACGAAATAACGCGGTATTTTTTCAACAGTGCCATTCAACAGTAGCCTACACCCAGTGTTTCCATTTGGGTGAGTCTCGTGCGCGCTGCCAAGAGAACAGTGCTGCAGTAGGCTACCTTCCAGCATGTGCATACTACGATATCCTGATGTGGCGCCATCCCACTGGGCACAGACGTCAATTCAACGTCTATTCCACGTTGGTTCAAAGTAATTTCATTGAAATGAAGTGGAAACAAACGTTCATTCAACCAGTGTGTGCCCAGTGGGATGCGTAAAGGAGGATGCAGCGTGTAGACTACAACAGTTCCAACTTCTAGTCGCGCTTAGTTTGGTAATAGTGAATTGCATCAGCTTGGATACTTACAGATGCAAAGACAGGCTATCAGCTTCGCCCCATTCTCGGGCACTGGGCAGTCAGGGAAAATGGGCTTGAGGAGGTAGGTAGCGAAGACGTAAGCGACAATGTACTGCGATGATGGCCGGATGATGAGCAACTCGATCCACAATTTCAGGAAAGCCGGCAGGGACCCATACACTTCAAGTATGTAAGCATAGTCTCCACCTGATTTGGAAATAGTGGTGCCCAGCTCAGCATAGCACAGGGCACCTATGGTTGAGAACACTCCACACACTGCCCAAACCACAAGGGACAGTCCGACTGACCCGGCTTCCTTTACCACTCCAGTCGGGGTCACAAAGATACCGGAGCCGATAATGGTACCTACAATGATAGCTACGCCGTTCACCAGGGTAATAGTTCTCTCTAGGACAACCTTATCTTCCCCGGGTACGGAAACCTTGTCCGGGCTTCCCGGTGCGCTACCTGTTCGGCTCGAGTTTCCATTCTCCCCTCCGGCCGGAGAGAGCATATTCTCCGTAACCTCCTTGTCTTCCACATCCCGGTCGACTGACGAATTCGAACTTCTTTTCTTTAAACTTGACATTGCTCGCTCCTGTGGGGTCACAGCTTTTCTCTTGTTGTCTGTGTCTCTCCTTGCGTAGTTTTTCTATTCAATGTCTATGATCCTGTCTGAGGCCCTCCTTTAGCGCAAAGACACGACGCTGCCTTGGCTGACACAGAGAAGCGTGTGTGCTCTGTGCTGTGTAAACGCAACTCTGTGTATAAAGGATTTGAGTAGAAAGCATCCAGGGGAGAATCTCAAGTGCCTCTCGCGTCCTCTCTCCTCACCTCCTTCTCAAAACCCATTGGAAAAGGTCAGAGGGGTGGGGCCTCAGGCTTTCTCATCCAATGGGTGTTTGAGGAAGCGAGTAGAGAGGACGCGAGGATTATACAATTGAGATTCTTTCCTTTCATGACAGCGTCACAAATCCACCCCACAGGATGCTGCTAAATGCGAGACCGAAGCTTTTACGCCCTCTAGTGATGCTTTTCGCTGAGGTAGTCTGTTTAAGGGGCCAAACTGCCAGACTAACTGAAATGCTTTTGTTGGCATTATCTCTTAGGCAGTTAAAGAGTGAAAACGGAGATAATGTTAGGGAAATTACAAACTAGAAAGGGCATTGTGGTAAAGACGCACTAGGTGCCAAACCATTCACATTCCTTTCATTGTGTGACATGTTGCCCTTTGTTTATCAATGCCCCCTTAATTATATTTACATTTTAGTCATTTTAGCAGAGGCTCTTATCCAGAGCGATTTACAGTTAGTGAGTGCATACCTTTAAAAAAAAAAAAATCATACTGGCCCCCCCTGGGAATCGAACCCACAACCCTGGCGTTGCAAACGCCATGCTCTACCAACTGAGCTACATCCCTGCCGGCCATTCCCTCCCCTACCCTGGATGACGCTGGGCCAATTGTGTGCCACCCCATTGGTCTCCCGGTCAAGGCCGGCTATGACAGAGCCTGGATTCGAACCAGGATCTCTAGTGGCACAGCTAGCACTGAGATGCACTGAGACACTGCACCATTTAAAAAAAAAAGTAAAATATATCACAAGTAGTACAGTTAAGGTTAATACTTGAAATTTCCCAATAATCTAGAATGTTTGGTTATGGTAATTCCTGTTAGTTTATTCAATATATTATTAGGGGTATACATTCATTTAGAAAAAGAAAAAAAAATTTGCCTACTGTTTTCATTCTAGAGAGAGAGCGAGAGAGGCAGATGAGCTACTGCGTTTTTCATCAAGGTTTTACAAAAATATAGATTTAGAGTTAGATAAACTTAGATTTTTCAGCAGGGACATATACAGGATACTACCCTCACAACATAACCTTCACCCTTAATCAAAACTCCAAACCTACAACCTGATTTTGGACAAAATTACCTGGAATGATTTCTAATGCCAAATATTCTTATTTCCAAGCTATAAAGAAAATGCTCTGGGAAACAAACAACAGAAACCTGAAAACACCATCCAACCTGGAACTGAGTGAGTCATGTTTAGTCTGAAGTTACTTATAAAGCCAATAATAAAAATACATTACAATTATGTATTTCACTATATAAGGACTGAATGCTAAATTAAGTCTATCAAGCTTAATTTAGGCTACCAAACAGATCTGACTGCTACTTCAATTAGCACTGAGGTGGAAAGTATGAGGTGTCAAAGCCCTTGAGCCCAACAATGGCAGGATAGTTTTAAAGCCTACCACACCCAATTGCAGAGGCCTTTGAAGCCCCCTCCTGCTGTGCACAGGTCATTACAATACAGTACCCCCTGGATTCAACTCTATTTTGAACTGATATGCAGCCAGGACACTTTGATTGTAAATTACCTCAATAAGAAACAATATTTTTGCTTTGATAACATCAGAAGATATCGTCCTCGCAATCTCCAAAATACAACAGCCACAGGACAACTTTGTTTGGACGTAGCTAGCTGGGATCTTCTACAAGGAATCTGCCTCCCGAAAATGTTTCTCCCAAGTGGGTGTGACACCTACTCCCGTTGCCTGCTGCACTGCTGCTTGGATTCCACCTGGTGATCTGTTCACCATCTGCCCAGTCTCCCCCTATCGGATACAGGTACCCCCGCCACACTCCCCCTTCTCTCCCGAGCTTTCTCTCACCTCCAGCACACAAGCTCTGTTGGGGCGAGTGACTCTGAACTTACGATGGATAGCCCCAAGTCGTTATACTTTTTTTTTGTGCTTTATGCTATTTGCCTCATGACTCCTGCATGCATTGTTGACTATGAACTTGCTTGTTTACCCGCCCATGGGACAGACTATGTTTGTTCCCACACTTGGGACTCTGACTCTCTATTGGTTACACGGACTCTTGGACTCCCATCCTATTGTAACCACCTCTTGCCAGCTTTGTATTCATGTAACCTGATGAAATTGCTGTACAATATGATCTTGTTGCCATCTGATGCACATTCAAATGTCATAAAAAATCAACACTGCAGAGCTCTCCCTGTCCTTGGCCGTGCCCTGATTGTATTACTGCTGATGATATCTGGAAATGTGCATGTGCACACCCTAGCCCATATACTGTTGCTAGCCCCAATTCTGACTTGTGCTCTGATATCTGCTTCACTGATTTCTGCTTTCGTAAAAGCCTGGGCTTTCTGCACGTTAACACAAGAAGTGTATTACCTAAAATGTATCAATTTAAAGTGTGGGTTCACAGCTCCAATCCAGATGCGTTGGTCATTACTGAGACGTGGTTAAGAAAGAGTGTTTTGAACACCGATGTTAACCTTTCTGGTTATAACCTTTTTCGGCAAGACAGATCTTCTAAAGGTGGTGGAGTAACACCTTCAGTGCTCAGTTGTCTCCACCAAGATGTGTTGGATTTGCCTCAAACATAAGGCTTTGCATTTAGGCCAAAAAGTGTATTCCTTTGCCATGTTGTTTTTGCAGTATTACTTTAGTGCCTTGTTGCATACATAAGCATATTCTGTATATTTGTATTCTTCTTTTCACTCTGTCATTTAGCTCATTATTGTGGAGTCACTACAATGTTGTTTATCTATCCTCATTTTTCTACAATCACAGCCATTGAACTCTGTAGCTGTTTTAAAATCACCAATGGCCTCATGGTGACATCCCTAAGCAGTTTCCTTCCTGTCCTGCAGCTCAGTTCAGTAGGGCGACTGCAGCCTATAGCCTAGGCCTACTCTCCACGTTCAGCCATGCATTGAACAGTGTTTTTGTGAACAGTGATTGAGTTACTGTATATTATTAGGCTAAATTCTTACTATTCAATCTACTCATCACATTAGGAATAGTAGGCTATCTTACATAAGTCTGCTCTGCAAATACGATGATGCATGGAATGCTTTATTATAAAGGTGCATTTTTATGGAGATAATTAGCTTCCCCAAACTTGAAACTCATCTATGGTAAGGTCCTTAATTATTACCCAGAAATAATTGTATATTGATATAAAAATGGCCGCATCTGTGATGGGGGATTTCGAAGGAGTCTGGCGCAGGAGGGTAAATCACAGAATAACAGGATTTATTCCAAAACACAGAGTTACGCAGTAATGCGTCAAAACACTCCAGTGTGCAAAACAGGCGCACTGGAAACAACAAGTTATACAGGGAATTATCCCAGCGATACAAAATACCAGGACCTCCACCGAGCTTCTCTAACCTCCACAATAAACAATCACACACAAAGACAAGGGGGCAGAGGGAACACTTATACAGGTACTGATGAGGAGCGGCAGTGGGATGAGGAGCGGCGGTGGCTAGAAGGCCCCCCCCCCCCCCCCCCCCCACCTGTCTCTTGTATGGTTAAGAACAGGTTTTGCCTAGGCTTTTTCTTTTGAAGACTGCATTTTGAACATTGAACTGAAGTTTGTTAATATCTACGTAAATATATGCACATCCTTGGAAACTCACTAGCGCTGTGTAAATAGCAACAGTATTTGCACCTCTACCTGCCTGTCTTCTGCTGAATCCTTGCCCTTATGGCTGTTACAAGGTCCCTATTTTACAGGCATGTTTTGTTCTCATCTTGCACTTCAGTGTGCAATAGCAAAACAGACAAACTTGAACTTGAGACTTGACAATAACAGGTATTAGTGCAGTTCACCATACCCACATAATGTTTGTACAGTAATGCCTAGGATTTTCCTGCAGCAATGGCTGGCTTCTGGTTCCTAGTCTCTCTGTCCCCCACCACGCTACCGCATAACGGTTAATGCACAGGAAGGGTTAAGAAAATGAGATGAAACAAGCCCCACTGTGAGGGCTTTGCAGGGATGTGCCCTGGAGATCCCTCACCCAGACACACAGACCCACAGACAGACCCTTGCCATAATTGCGTCTGGAGCTCAGACTGACAAATATTGCCCCACTCACACAATTTCCGTTGTGTCCTCAGAAGATGAGGACATAGTTAAATAATAGTGGCCAGATTTACCCCTAAGGTCTTCAAGTTATTGGCTCCTCATTTAACATGGCAGAAAAAGCTATTTCAGACAGATGCAGGCTTAGTGTTTCATATATAGTCTGAGTAGTTTTTTCTCTTCTAAATACCATTCCCAGGTCACTGCAGAGAGTTGAATAATTATATTGGAGTCTGATGTTTGCCCTCTACTTGTGTAATTCCTGAAAACATCTTTAGAGGCAGGACCTATGATCTCATATACAGTGAGGGAAAAAAGTGTTTGATCCCCTGCTGATTTTGTACGTTTGCCCACTGACAAAGAAATGATCAGTCTATAATTGTAATGGTAGGTTTATTTGAACAGTGAGAGACAGAATAACAACAAAAAAATCCAGAAAAACGCATGTCAAAAATGTTATAAATTGATTTGCATTTTAATGAGGGAAATAAGTATTTGACCCCCTCTCAATCAGAAAGATTTCTGGCTCCCAGGTGTCTTTTATACAGGTAACGAGCTGAGATTAGAAGCACACTCTTAAATGGAGTGCTCCTAATCTCAGTTTGTTACCTGTATAAAAGACACCTGTCCACAGAAGCAATCAATCAATCCGATTCCAAACTCTCCACCATGGCCAAGACCAAAGAGCTCTCCAAGGATGTCAGGGACAAGATTGTAGACCTACACAAGGCTGGAAT